GAACAACCGCATATAAAGACAGGGAAGCAGAAGATGCGGGAGAGAGGAAATTGGAATCCGGGTGTATTCATTTCCAAGACTACCAAACAAATTACCGCAAACTGGGGGCCTTAAAACAACAGAAAATTGTTCTCTCACAATTCCAGAGGCTAGAAGTCCGAAATCAAGGTGTTGGCAGTGTTGGTTCTTCCTGGAGGCTCCGAGGGAGGACCCGTTCCCCCTCTCTCATTTCTGGAGGTGGCCGGCAGTCCTCGGTGCTCCTGGGCTTGTGGCTGCGTCACTCTCATCTCAGACTCCGTCTTCTCATGGCCTCCCTGTGTGTCTCTGTGTCTTCACATTCTTACACGGCCACGAATCATTTGGTTAGGGCTCACCCTAATCTAGTGTGACCCCACCTTAGCTTGATTACATCTGCAAAAGCCCTATTTCCAAATAAGGTCACATTCACAGGTACCAGGTGTTAGGACTTCAACATAAATTTTGGGTGACACTGTTCAACCCCCAACAGTGGGGGATCCCAATGAGAAACAGACTGATGTGCTCCTCACAGCATCACATAAGGGCTCAGGAGTCACGGGTGCCAGGAACCACTGACAAGAGGAATGAGACATCCAGCTGAAAGTGGGGGTGATGGCAAAGGAGCAGGTCAACCTCCATCCAGGCAGCATGGCTCCCAAGTCCAGACCTGTGACCCTCCGGCTGCACTTCCCTCCCTTCCTTTCCTCCTCCCCTCCAGGAGGTGGGAGGTACAGAGGTTGTTTGGAAAAATTGTGCTGGAAACTATAAATGGGGTGCAAGCCAGAGGTGAGGTACTGCACCGGAAACAGGGGTTACCTGAACACAGAGGTGGATCTCCAGGAGAAAAGAGGAGACGTGAATGGCACAGTCCTCTTCTGGCCCCAGCCACCACTCAGTGGAAGCCAAGCTTATACTCCAAGCAGATGACAGAAGATTTTTCTGGAGATAATGAACAGTCTAGAGAAAAGGCCTTCAGATACTGGCATTATGGGCCCCCTTCCCTCAAAAAATGCTAACTTACTGCAAGAGCATTCCACAGAGAAGCCCACTAGTTAACAAGCCTACTCACACAAATTATTTTCTCTGAAATATTAATTTGGCCCAAGGACTCATCAGCTGACATTTGAGGAAAACATTCAACATGAAAAAAGAAGGGAAACAAACCAGAGGAACTCTTAGTAAACAGAGAATTACACCATAATAATTGCAAAGATGTCAAATATTTCAATGATGAAAAGAATAGGATGATATATGTCATATATATAAGATATATATATGTATAAAAGGATTAGAAACAAAAATCTTTTGGATATGAAAAATACAGTAGCAGAAAAAACAGTACAGTTTTTTGAAAAGCATAAACATACAGAGTTCTAGGGAAGATAAGGGGGAAAATGTAGAATTTACAGATAATCTGATATATCTGACTGTACAATTTTTATTATATTTGTATAACTGTATACGACTGTGTACAATCGTATAATTGTATTATGAAGCTTTGGGGACAAGTATGGAAAGAGTGGTAGGCAATAGGAAAATAAGAAGCAATTGTTAATTCTAGAAAAAAGTGATATACGGTTGACCCTTGAACAACATGAGTTTGAACTACATGGGTTCACTTATATGCACATTTTTTTTTCAGTAGTAAACATTATAATACTACACGATCTGCTGTTGGTTGAGTCCATGAATGCGGAACCACAGTTGGGAGGAACCTCGTGTATGGAGGGCTGACTATAAATCCTATGCAGAGTTTCAAATGCGTGGAGGGTCAGGGCCCCTATCCCCGTGCTGTACAGGGGTCAACTGTATAATCATGGTACACTACTGGAATTTGGCATGGCCTTGTATGCTATTTTACAGTCATAATAGTAAAAGCACTGTGGTAGGCAGATTCCAAGATGGCCCTCGGTGATCGCTGCCTCCTGTTGTTCTTTCTCATGTAACCCACCCCCCAAACATTTTCCAGCATTAGTCTGTATAACCAGCGGAATGGGGTAGAAATGATAGTATGTCACGTCTGAGATTAGGTTACAAAAGATACTGTGACTTTCGTCTTGGGTGCTGTGTCTCCCCGTTTCTTGGTTCTGGGGGAAGCTATGTTGTGAGCAGCCCTATGGAGAGACCCAAGCTGTGAGGATATTAAGCTTCAATCTATCACAATAGAAAATCAATAAGTAATGTCTATAATCGATGAATCAAGAGATAGCAGGAGAAGCATCAATAAGGAAGAGAGTCAGGGACAGTGGACTGCTGTATTTCATTGGAAGCCTTTTGGATTTCTTCATAAAGTAACCATTAACTTTAAAGAAAGTTAAAGTTAGAAGTAGGAAACATCTAAATGGGCAGCAGGTGGGCAGTCAGGATGGCGAAACACCTAATGACTCAGTTTATCCCTATTGAGAATAACCAGAAGCTAAAATCTCTCGTAAGTTGTCTATCTCCTTCTTTACTAAAATACACAGATTTTACTTTTATTTTTCACTTTTCTTTTTCACTTTCTCTCTTCTAATAACTGTGTATAAAGGAGACTTCTCTCTGTTCTAGCTTTCAGCTTTTCATTTTTATGTGATCCGGAGACTAAAGTGCTCTTCACTATGCATTCTTAAAGAGTGATGATATGGGTGACGAGAGTGAGTTACGGTGGTACCTCTAGCTCAGGATAATGACTGTGCTTCTCCATATAAATCAGACAGTCTTCCCACTTTTTTTGTGTCCTGTAGATAGCATTGGCCAGTGATTTTGCAGCACATATCTGAATATATTTGTCCTTTGTAATTCTTAATGTGAGAGAAAATGATGGAAATGCATAATAGAGAAAATCAAGCACCCCTCTATTTTTTTTTTTTTTTTTTTTTTTTTTTTTGCCTTTTAGAGCAAAAGTAGCCTTCCGGTGCTGCATAAGAACTTGATGGCTGATCTGTATTCACTGAATCCTTAGAAAACAAGAGAATGGGATGAGATTTGCATTTGGAATTCATATTAGTTACAGTTATTGATTGAGTGTTTTTAAATTAGTGTCTTAATACATTACACTGGCCTCATGAAAGCCAAGGATGTAGCTAATGTAGCTAGAAGAACTATTTGTGCTTTGGAGGGGAATGGTGGTATGACTACTTGTTATGTAGTCTAGGTAAGGAGGTAAATATTTTTCTACTTTATGAGGGTCTATAAATTTATTTAAGAAAGCATTGACATGCATTAAGAAAGCTGCATGTCCCACTGATTCCCAAGTAAATTAGAAATTATTAGTGTTAGCCATGATGTACGTTATTGTGATATGACAGCATTTGGCTTAAACAGTTTCACCATTTATTAGCTCTGATATTAGAATAAATGACAATGATCATTAAATGCTATGTACATTATCATTTAACTAATTATGCTCGCAATCTCCTTCTATTAGTCAAACATCTTTGGGTTAATTAGAGGAGCTGCCTAATCCCGATTTCTAGAGGAATAATGAAATAAAGGAACATTGAAGTATGCTAAAGAAAGTGTGAGTGCATCACCGTTTACCTCATATATCGACTTCATGTACCCTCACCCAGTGCATTATCGTAGCCTCAAGGTTAAAAGATTCTGGCAATTCTTTTTATTTTGAAATATGATTAGGCCGTTAAATTATATGTTCATACTTTTCCCATTAAAGCATGTATGCTGCAGAAAAGTGCTAATATGCAAATGAAAACAAAATTCTCCTACCCATATTGAAAGATGAACCAAAAAACACTGTTTAGATTAAGCATTAAAAATGTTAATAACACCTTGTACTTTGATTCTGACAAGCTAATAACTCAAAATCCATAGAATTTTAAGGTTACAAGTATAAGACACAACCAAGAAACTTTTATTATTAGTCCTTTTATTTCTTATTCTTGTTAATATAGTTAGGCTAAGGGATTCTTAAGCTGATGTTTGTTAAACCATGAGCAGGGTTTTATTTAATCCAAAGTATATTTTATCATTGGGTGAAAAGTATAATTTCATCCCTTTGTCTTAGTCTTCCCCATGTCCCAAAGGAGGAGAAAAAAAGAGAAAAGTATCTTTTAAAATTCATTGTGACCTGTCATGAGGCAACTTCTCAAATAATGATGATGAGGCTCTATTTTTGAACATGCAGGCAGAAATAAATGAAGGGCATAGGGCGTGAAGAGGTAACTAGTACAGTCTCCCAGGCAGAGAGAAGCACTGCCCAAGAGAGCCCCTGGGATCCCTGCTACACTTGCAGCCGTTGGCAGCAGTATCCTCTCTAATAAGTCTCAAGGTTTTCATCACTTCCTGAACACTGCTCTGTCTGTTTGCTACTCATTTGCTGGAAACTGGACAAGGCCTATTACTCTCCATTCTATTAACCTCCTTTCTCTTCATTCACTGATCCCCATTCCCTTTCCTCACCTAAATATAAAAAGACATGATCTGCTCAGGGTGAGAGATAAATATATTCAGTAATGGAACTAAGTAGGCAGAGTCAGTAACTCTAGGTACTATGTCATAGTAACTTGTAATGTTTCCTAGAAATTAACTCTGTGTCTTCTACATATTTGTTTGTTTTAAAGCCAGGAAAAGGGAAGGTTTTGAGAGTAATGTTTTTAATTATTAGTTTGTGATGAGTTTTCATGTCTTGCTGGTATGCTCTCTTTGTGGTAGTTTCTCTGCCCCTGGGTCCATGCCTGTCTGTTTTGAAAAGAGTGATTTATTTGTTTCCATGTAGTAGACCTATAGGGTTAGTCACGTGTTCCTCTTCTAAACAGATCTGTAGTCCTACCTAGAATGTCTTTATAGTTTTACACTAAGATCTTCTTTAACCCTTCACTGTCCTCTTTCAAGAAATACCAAATACTATTTCTACTTTCTTTTTTTTAAGTAAAATTATTCTTTATTATTTGAAAAAATTTTAAATTTAATTTTTATTTTATATGGGAGTATAGTTAACTTACAATGTTGTGTTAGTTTCAGGTGTACAGTAAAGTGATTCCGTTATCACTTCTCAGCCTTTTGGCTAAGATCAAGTGTAGTATCTGTTCTTATTAGTATTTCAAAATCAGGAATAAAAGACTTATAAATGTACAAATTGTTGCCTCAGCAAAGCCCTCTCCTTGTTTCAGTAAAGTACTTGGCACTATGCATTTCACTGCACTGGGAAGTATTATTTAGTTTTGTTTAAACATTTCTTGTACTCTTATACTTCTTACTGCATTTTAAATGTATACTGTATATAGAAGAATAACATATAGAAAAGTACACACTTCCTGAGTATCTGGCTTGATGAATGCTCGTAAGGTAAGCTTACCTATGTAACCAATACCCAGATCAAGAAACAACGTCATTAGAAACACAGAGCCCCTTCCAGATTCTCCCTTTCATAACCTCGCATCCCACACATATCCTGACTGTGACAGCAGTAACTAGACTTTGTCCTTTTTATAAATACAGTCTTACACTTTGTATCCATGTTGTTGTGTGAGGTTGTAATTTGTTTGTTCTAATGGTTATTTAGCATTCCACTCTGAATATGTGAATTTTTTTTTCTTTTGTTCGTGGATATTTATATTGTTTCTAGATTTGGGCTGTGACAAATAGTGCTGCTAAGAACATTCTTATACATGTCTTCTGGCTCTGTCAGAAATATACCTATTGAGTTGCATGAGCTGTTTGTATATTTTGGAAATTAATCCTTTGTCTGTTGCTTCATTTGCAAATATTTTCTCCCATTCTGTGGGTTGTCTTTTTGTCTTATTTATGGTTTCCTTTGCTGTGCAAAAGCTTTTAAGTTTCATTAGGTCCCATTTGCCTATTTTTGTTTTTATTTTCATTACTCTAGGAGGTGTGTCATGAAAGATCTTGCTGTGATTTATGTCAGAGTGTTTTTCTTATGTTTTCCTCTAAGAGTTTTATAGTGTCTGGTCTTACGTTTAGGTATTTAATCCATTTTGAGTTTATTTTTTTGTATGGTGTTAAGGAGTGTTCTAATTTCATTCTTTTACATGTAGTTGTCCAGTTTTCCCAGCACCATTTATTGCAGAGGCTGTCTTTTCTCCATTTTATATTCTTGCCTCCTTTGTCATAGATTAGTTGACCATAGGGGCATGGGTTTGTCCCTGGGCTTTCTATCCTGTACCATTGATCTATATTTCTGTTTTTGTGCCCTACAAACAATAAATGCTGGAGAGGGTGCGGAGAAAAGGGAATCCTCTTGCACTGTTGGTGGGAATGTGAATTGATACAGCCACTATGGAGGCTCCTTAAAAAACTAAAAATAGAACTACCATATGACCCAGCAATCCCACTACTGGGCATATACCCTGAGAAAGCCATAATTCAAAAAAACACATGTACCCCAATGTTCATTGCAGTACTATTTACAATAGCCAGGACGTGGAAACAACTTAAATGCCATCGACAGATGAATGGATAAAGAAGATGTGGTACATATATATAATGCAGTTTATTCAGCCATAAAAAGAAATGGAATTGGGTCATTTGTAGAGATGTGGATGGGCCTAGAGTCTGTCATACAGAGTGAAGTAAGTCAGAAAGAGGAAAACAAATATTGTATATTAACGCATACATGTAGAATCTAGAAAAATGGTACAGATGAACATATTTGTAGGGCAGGAATAGAAACACAGAACTAGAGAATGGACGTGTGGACACAGTGGGGAAGGGGAGGGTGGGATGAACTGGGAGAATAGGTTTGACATAAATACATTACCATGTGTAAAATAGATAGCTAGTGGGAACCTGTGGTATAGCACCGGGAGCTAAGCTTGGTGCTCTGTGATGACTTACATGGGTGGGATGTGTGTGTGTGGTGGGGGATGTCCACGAGGGAGGGGATATATGTATATGTATAGCTGATTCACTTCACTGTACAGCAGAAACTAACACCACATTGTAAAGCAAATATACTCCAAAAAAAAAAAAAAAAAAAAAAAAAGGAAATATACCTAGATGTGTAATTGCTGTTTCAGTGGATAAGCGTATCTTCAGCTTTAGCAGATACTGACCAACAGTTTTCTAAAATGACTGTACCAGTTTATACTTCCATCAGCAGTGTATGAGAGTTTTCATTTCAGCAGTTCTGGTAGGATAGCTCACTGTGGTTTTGATTTGCCTTTCCCTCATGAGTAACTTGAATAGCATTCCATGTTCTTTTGGCTTTTTGAATATCTTATTATGTGAAGTGCCTATTCAAGTCTTTTGCATATTTTTCTATTGGCTTGTAGGTGTTTTTCATATTGAGAATAAATAGATTTTGATACAACTTAGAACTCCATCGTAACACTTATGTCAAACTGCCCATTAAAGGAAAGACTGTGTTACTTTCTAGTAATATAATATTCCACATCACTCAGATGTTCTAGTGAGAGACCTTAGAATGACAGGTCTGGTCAATATATGTTAAAAGAGCAAGCATGTTGTAGACTCTGCTGCCTATTTACCCTCTTCTGTTAAATTCCCTTTGGTGTACCTGTACATTGTCTTTTCCTCCTTGTTGTCATGTGAGAGCAGTTCAGGGCCCCTCTAGCTTTTCTGACTGAACTGGGGACACTACAAGAACATTATTCTAGAAAAGCTATGTCATGGTAAAACTTCAGAAAACCATTTGTAAGATGAATGAATGAATAAGTGAGTGAATGAGTGAATACATGAGTGAATATGTGAATACATGGAAGAAAGAATAAACACATGATGGCATAACTGGGTCTTGAAGTTGGGCCTTCCAACGCTAATCCTGATATAAATTCCATTATGCCCTAATATTTACTATTAATCAGGAAATATTGAGTATGGTAAACTATTGCCATAAAACCTTTTCCTCAACTTGTAACTCACAAACGTGTATCAGAGGTGAACTCTCAAAGTAACAAACTTGTGATGCATTTAGATTTAATTTTATGATAAAATTTGAGTAGCTTTTTTATAAACTATTTTTGAATACATAGTCTATTACCAAAGAAAAAATTCAGTTCAATGCACATGATTCTACTATTGATGAGTTAGATCCAGATTAAGTGAATAAATGTATACATTTCTCCTAGAAGATCACTGTCATTTTTATGTCACAAAAAAATGTATCATATCTTCCAAGGTCAAATATCAACATATTAATTAAGGTAGTTTTAAACTGATACAGAATCAATATGAAGTAGAAGCTACTCTTAGTTTTTATTAAATTTTTTTAAAATTGTGGTTAAAAAAACACATAAAATTTACTATCTTAATAATTTCTAAGTGTATAGGTCAGTAGTGTTAAGTATATTCACACTGTTGCACAAAGAGATCTCCAGAACATTTTCATCTTGCAAAACTCAAGCTCTATAACTCATTAAACAACAACTCTCCATTTCCACCTTCCCTCAGCCCCTGGCAACCACCATTCTACTTTCTGTTTTTATGAACTTAATTACTATAGGTACTCATATAAGTGGAATCATACAGCATCTGTCTTTTTGTGACTGGCTTATTTCATAATAAGCATAATGTCCTTAGCATAATATCCTTAAGGTTCATCCATGTTGTAGCATGCGTCAGGATTTCCTTCCTTTTTAAGGCTGAATAATATTCCATAGTATATATGTACATTTTGTTTATCCATTTATCTGTTGATGAACATTTGGGTTACTTCCACTTCTTGGCTATTGTGAATAGCGCTTCGATGAACACAAGAGTGCAAATATCTCTTCAAGATCCTGCTTTCGATTCTTTTGGATATATACCCAGAAATGGGATTGCTGGATCATATGGCAGTTCTATTTTTAACTTTTTGAGAAACCACCATACTGTTTTCCATAGCAGTTGAACCATACTCTTAGTTTTTAAATGTTGATTCTAATTTATGGAAGGGGGAAAATGATATGTAGTTTACTAAGTATGTGTTCTTAAGTTCATTACTTACCATGCTTCCTTCTCTATAAAATGTGGTAGTAGACTATCCCGTAGTAAGGATGGGCCCTACATTTTTAACCAGCTTCTTTAGGGTTTTACCTTTACATGGTTTAAAAATTTTTACTGTTTAATAAGCAGCACTATTTATTCAGGACAAGTTAACAGATATGAACAATTTTAAGGCTTTGTTATTCATATTGCCACACTGACGTGGGAATGGTGAAGAGATTATACTAATTTATACTCCTACCAGCATCCAGTGACTGTGTCCATTCCTCAAACCTTCAACAGCACTAGATGTGTTTCACAATTTTCAGCAATTAGACAAAATAGTATCTCATTGTTTTGCATTTTTAATTAGCAATTAAATTATATCTTTTTGTCTTTTATTATAACTGACAAAGTGTGAGGGGCAGGGAGATCAGAAACAGAGGAGGAGGAAAGAAACTTTCTCAGTATTTCTTTTCAAAATATGTCATCCATTAAGGAAAAACCATACATTTTAATGTTGTTATCTCTTCTGTCTTATTTCTCAGCTAGGAGGAGTTATTATTACTGTTTATTTGTGATGATTTTTCAATGCTGCTAGTCCAGGAGTAGGTTTTTTTTTTACATTTTGGTTGTTAATAACAATACATATAACCATCTCTTGATTTATTGGAGTAATGAGGTAGAGAGAGAGGGATGGAAATCAGAGACAGACCTAAATCCCAGTGGCACATAAGTGGTAAAGGGAAAGCTAAAATCTCAGGTGGACTCACACCTCCTTCCCTGGGGGTTTTGGGCCATTAGGCAGCAGCTAATAGATCTGTATAGATGCTTGTGACTAAACTTAGTCTACTTGATGCCAGCAGAGCCAGTTGAAAGGTAAAGAAACTGAGCCAACCAACAAACTGCTTCGGGACAATTTTGGCAGCGATTTTAACAGATTTTTTTTTCACTGAATTTATCACATGAATCCTTTTAATAAAAGGTATTTCAGTAATGAAGGCATTATACATTATGAGCACTTGGCTAAAATGTGAGTTTTTAAAAATTTATAATTTATATACCTTACTTACTTCTAGGAAGAATTTGGGATGGCTTACAAAAGAAAGCATATAACAATCCTAATTGTAATTATAAGAGAAAACAGACGCTGTAAGAAAACAGAAGAAAGTTGACTCCTTAGCTTACAGCTTTGGTTCTCAACTTTAGCATCTATCAGAATCCCTTGAGAGGCTTAACCAAACACAGGTTGCTAGGTCTACCCCAGAGTTACGGATTCAGGAGG